TGTCCTGTCCGTGTGTCTGTGAGTGACCCTGTCCGTGTGTTTGTCCTGTCCGTGTGTCTGTGAGTGACCCTGTCCGTGTGTTTGTCCTGTCCGTGTGTCTGTGAGTGACCCTGTCCGTGTGTTTGTCCTGTCCGTGTGTCTGTGAGCGACCCTGTCTGTGTGTCCCTCCTGTCTGTGTGTCTGTGAGTGAGTGACCCTGCTGTCTGTGTGTCCCTCTGGTCTGTGTGTCCATCCTGTCCCTGTGTCCACATGTCCATCCTTGTTCCCATGTCCACGTGTCTGTCCTGTCTGTGTCCATGCCCTGTTCCCACATTTCTGTCTCTGTTCCCGGGCCCCATTCCTGTCCCTGTGTCCATGCCCTGTCCCACTCTGTCCCTGTCCCCAGGTGAGGAGGACAACAGCTGCGTGGTTTGGTTCTGGCTGCACCAGGGCGAGGCCCAGCGCTGCCCCTCCTGTGGGGCCCACTACAAACTGATCCCCCATGAGCTGCCCCACTGAGGGGGGCTGTGGGACGCCCCCCGGGGCCCTGCTGATCCCCCCCTGCACCTGAGCCCACGATAAAGAGATGGTGGGGAGACTCTGACTCTGTGTGTGCTGGGGGGGCAGCAGGGTGGGGAGGGGGGGCAACTGCTGTGTGGAGCCAGGCCAGGCCTTGAGGGTGCCGCTGTGAGTGACCTGGGACTGTGGGAGGGGGGTTGTTGAGGGACCCACTTTCACTGTCCCTCTTCCCTGGGGGGTGCTGGGATTTGAGGGGCAGCTGGGGTGCAGCTGCTGGGGGGTCTCAGGGGTACTATTTTGGGCCTCCCTGCCCAGCCTGGGGGATCACCCACCCCAAAAGAAGACCCCAGAGGGGGCTGGGTTACCCTCTTAGCCCTCCCACACACAAGTGTCCCCCCAGATGCCTCTGTGGGGGGTCTCTCTGTTCACATGGGAGAGGCACAGCTGGACACATCCTTGGGGGGCGTCACCTGCCCCAGGGGTGACACCCCATTGGGCGGGAGCCTCCTGGGGACACTGGGGGAGCCCTGGGGGCTGGTCCTGCCCTGGCATCTCTGAGGGCACCTGGGAGGCTCCACAACACCCCTGGGAGTCCCTGAAGGTTCTCATGAGATCCCAGGAGGCCCCAGTAAGTCCATGAAGGATCCCATAAGGTCCCCAGTGGGTCCCTTGAGTTCCCCAGAGGTTCTCAGCAGATCCTGGGGGGTCCCTGGAAGTCCCTCAGCAGGCCCCCACAGGATCTGGATGCTGCAGCTCTGCCCTTGTATCACACATCCCCAGGGTGGGGGGTCAGGTTGTACCTTCCCAGCCCCACTTAGGGGGCCTGGGAGGCCCAGGGAGGACCTAGAGGCTGCCGGATCCCCAGCGTGTCCCTTGTGCTGCTGATGTCACCAATGATGTCAGACTGGGTGGTCATGATGTCATGCACCCCCGGGGGGAGGGGCTCTGATCCCCACCAGCTGATGGGGACTGTGGTGGCCATGACTGACAGCCAGGGGTGGGGCATGCCTGGTGGGGCGGGGCTCCAGCCTCACTGACAATAGGAGCTGGTGGAGGCTGTGATTGACAGCAGGAGTGGGTGGGAACCTGCAATTTATGGGACTGTGCTGGGAGGGGAGGGCGGGTCTTGGGGCTCACCAACCAATCGGTGCTGCTGGAAGCCCTGACTGACAGCCAGGGGGTGCGGCTTTAGGCCTCAGCCAATGGGGAGCTGGGCTAGCTGTGAGGGACAGCCGGGGGGGCCGGGCTGTGCACTCAATGGAACTCGAGTGGAGAGGTGGTGGGGCGGGGTTGACGGGGGAGGAGCCCTCGATCTCATTTACCAATGGGGGCTTGTGGTGGCCGTGACTGACAGCTGGAGGGCGGGGTTTATGCTCAATGAAGCGGTGGGAGGCGGGGCTATGCCGGGGCGGTGCTCTGTGCCTCTCTGACCAATGGGGGCCGGCGGCGGCCATGACTGACAAGCAGGGACGGGCGGGAGCCTGCGACTGAGGGAGTGGGGAGGGGCAGGTGCTGCGGGGCGGGGCTTCGGGGATCACCGACCAATCGGGGCCGTGCTGGCCGTGACTGACAGCGGGGGGGCGGGGCTTTGTGATCAAAGAAACTCGGGGGCGGGGCCTCGGGGGCGGGGTCTCACTGACCAATGGGGGCCGCAGGCGGCCATGACTGACAGCGGGGGGCGGGGCCTGCCGGGGGCGCGCGGGGACGCGGCGGGCGGGGCTCTTCCCCCCTTGCCCCCCCCCCGCGCACGTGACGGCGGCGGTGCGGCGGTGACGTCATCGGCGGTGTCGCAGCGGGGCCGGAAGCGGGCGGCGCGCGGGGCGGGCGGACAAGATGGCGGACGGGGACAGCGGCAGCGAGCGCGGCGGCGGCGGCGGCGGCGGGTTCGGGGCCGCCCGTGGCGGGGCGGGGGGGGCCGGGCCCGCGGCGGGGCCCGGCGGCGGCGGCGGCGCGGCCGGCCCCGAACAGGAGACGCAGGAGCTGGCGTCCAAGCGGCTGGACATCCAGAACAAGCGCTTCTACCTGGACGTGAAGCAGAACGCCAAGGGCCGCTTCCTCAAGATCGCCGAGGTGGGCGCGGGCGGCAACAAGAGCCGCCTGACCCTCTCCATGTCGGTGGCCGTCGAGTTCCGCGACTACCTGGGCGACTTCATCGAGCACTACGCGCAGCTGGGCCCGTCCAGCCCCGAGCAGCTCGCCCAGGCCGCGGGGCCGCCGGGCGAGGACGGCGCCGGGCCCCGCCGCGCCCTCAAGAGCGAGTTCCTGGTGCGGGAGAACCGCAAGTACTACCTGGACCTGAAGGAGAACCAGCGCGGGCGCTTCCTGCGCATCCGCCAGACCGTGAACCGCGGCCCCGGCGGCCCGGGGGGGTTCGCGGGGGGCCCCCCGGGGCTGCAGAGCGGCCAGACCATCGCGCTGCCCGCCCAGGGCCTTATCGAGTTCCGCGACGCGCTGGCCAAGCTCATCGACGACTACGGCGGCGAGGAGGACGAGCTGGGCGGCCCCGGCGGCGGCGGCCCGGGCGGCGGGGGGCTCTACGGGGAGCTGCCCGAGGGCACGTCCATCACCGTGGACTCCAAGCGCTTCTTCTTCGACGTGGGCTGCAACAAGTACGGCGTGTTCCTGCGGGTCAGCGAGGTGAAGCCGTCCTACCGCAACGCCATCACCGTCCCCTACAAGGCCTGGGCCAAGTTCGGCGGCGCCTTCTGCCGCTACGCCGAGGAGATGCGCGACATCCAGGAGCGCCAGCGGGACAAGCTCTACGATCGGCGCGCCGGCCCCCCCGGGCCCGGCAGCGGCAGCGGAGCCGGCGACGACTCTGACGGCGACGACGTGGACGACGACTGAGCCGACCCCCACCCAGCCCTCGACCCCCCGAGCCCCGGGGCAGAGGGGCCCCCCGATCCCCCCTCCCAGTGACGGGGCAGAGGGGTTCCCAAACCCCCGAGTCTCCTCCCCCAAAACAGCAATGGGGCAAAGGGGTCCCCGAGCCCACCCCCCTCCCAGCGACAGGGTGAAGGGGACCCCAAACTCCCCTATGCCCCCGCTCCCAGCAACGGGATGAAGGGTCCCCGAGCCCCCCCCGGCAGTGGTGGGGCGCGGGGGTCTCCGAAACACCCCCGAGCCCCCCCTCCTGCAGCCACCGGAGAGAGAAACCGGCCCGACCGCACCGCTGCCCGCGGCTCCTCCCCCTGCTCTGTCCCCGCCGTGGGCCCCCCAAGACTCGCTGCTTTGGGGAGGGACAGGGGCTGACCCGCAGCCCCCTCTCCTCCCAATGCCCCCCATTGAAACCAGCACCGAGGGCCCCGGAGCCGGGGGGCAGCCGCGGCGCCGGGGGGCAGCAGGGGCACCTTGGACCAACGGCCGTTCCCTCGGCTTGTGATTTTTCCTTCATTCTCTTTTTTTTTTTTTTCCCTCCTTTTTCTCCTCTTTCCACGTTGTTTTTTTTTTTTTTGTCGGTTTTTTGGGATGCAAACTGCAAACTCCGGGCACCCGAACTGGAACCTGCCCCGAGCCGGCGCGGAGCTGCGGCTCTCTGACAATTAGGGAAGATCTCCTCGGTTTTGCCGATTTCAGACCGTTCCCCCCCCCACCTCCCTTTTCCCGCCGGGAAGGGGGAGGCGCCGACACAAAGCACAAGGAAAAGCTCGACGGGGCGAAACATCTTCCCCTTCTCTCCAAATAAGGCGCCTCCGGCCCCGATTCACCGGGACCCGCCGGAATCCGCCCCTTGGCTTCACCCAAATTGGATTTTCCGGCCCCAAACCCGTGGCCGCGCCCGGCCTCGGCCCCTTGGGGGTGGTTTTAGGGGGGTTATTGTTATTTTTTGCCTCTTTTTGTCTTTTTTTGCCCCCCCCCCGGGCCCGGCCCTGGCGCCGCCCGGTCCCTCCAGCCACCTCCTATTAAACACATTTTTCCACTCTCAAACAGTCTTTTTTTAAATTCTTTTTCGCTCCCTCGGCTCAGTCCTGCCCTGTCCAGAATTCCACTTTTTCACCCCATTTTCCCAGAACTCTGAACTCCATCACTCTCATTCCAAAGTTTTGCCTCTTCTTCTCCTCCAACGGTTTCGCCACTTTTAGGACTTTTTTTTTTTTTTGCTTTTGATCCATTTTTGGGAGCTCGCTCAGCTGCCTCCTTAATTTATTACCACGGATCCGGCATCTCCCTCTCTCCGTATTTATTGGGAAGTGAGGAACAGCCGCAGACCCCTGGGGGTCCATCCGTCCGTCCGGCTCCGGCCCTGTCCTGCTGCTCCCGCCGCCGTTGCTCTTTTTAAAGGGATTTTTAAAGCGAGTTTCTTCCATTTATCCTGTTTTTAAAGCCTTCTCCGTCGCAAAGGACCCGGATCCCTCACTCACGTGGGAGCAATAGTCCTTCCTCGGTGGCCGACGTGTCCGTACTGTATTTTGTACCCTCAGGCAGCTCTTTCCGGTGAATTCCTGCTGTATCCACCCATCCTCCTGGTCCTGTGTTCTTTGCCACGGAGAAAATCCAGAAACCACAACGGCGACAACGGATTTGGGGGGAAAAAAAAACGCTCCCGGCTCCGCGGGACTCACCGGCGTCCGGCCGCGGGACCTCTCCTTTTATTTTTGAAGAGGATGATATATATATATATATATAAAAAAAATATATATATATTCCTTTGGTTTTTCTTTCTTTTGGCTGAATTGCGGTGATTTAGCCTTATTTCTATGTCGGGAGAGCGGCGGAGTCGCTGCCGGCCCGGCCCAGCTCTAGGGAGCTGGCTAGAAATACATGGAAGAGAAAAAAAACAAAAAAAAAGGCAAAACCACCAAAATCTGATAATAAACCCAAAAAAGCAGCTCCTGGCGTCGGCTCCGGGAGCCTTTCCCAGCCGGAGAAGCGCTGGATCCATGGACACAACCTCCCGCAGCTCCATTTGGGTGGGAAGAGCAGAGAGCGTCGGGGGAAGACAGCGGAAAAACCAGCCAAAATGAGATAAAATTGGGGGAAAAGGGGGTTTGAGGGGAGCGGCGGCCCGGGGGGGCTGCGGGGGAGGGGGCTTGGGGCAGTTTGGGTTTTTTTTCTCTCTTGGAGCCCCCCAGGAGCCGGTGGGTATTTCCCAGGAAAGCAGGACAGTGCCGGCATCTCCCCTGGGCCCCTGTTCCCACCTCTGTGTGTATAGACATGGCCGTGTGTACATAGATCAGAGTTGGTTGGGTTTGGGTTGAATTGTGTAGAAAACGGGCAAATTGCTTTTTTTATTATTTTTAAACCACAAGTGGGGGGGAAAAAATATCCCAAATTCCTGGTACTTCCAGCTTTGTTGCCCCAGAAGGGCCGAGGGAGAGCGTGACGATGGCTGTACAGACAGAAAGTTGGGAATCCTGTCCAGTGCCCCAAAACCCGCTAGAAATGCCCCAAATGGCCAGGCCTGGGGCCAGCAGCACCTCCAGGGGAAGTTCAAACAGCTTCAATTCCTTTTGTCCTAAAAAATATGGAAGAAAATCGGGATTCTCCTGCCTCGTTTCCAGGCGATTTGTGGGCGGCAGGGGATGGGATAGGTGGGGCCGTGCCAGTGGCGGCTCCTTGAGTTGGTGACAAACCAACCCCAACCCCTTGCCAGCCTCTCTTGTAAAAAAGCAAAAAGTGGAAAAAAATCGCAAAAAACTGGAAAAGATAAAAAAAAAAAAAGCAGCTGAGGGAGCCCTGGGGGTACGTGGGGTGACGCCCCAGGGAGCTCGGCAGGTCCTCCCAGTGGGAAATCCCAGGCGGCTCCGTGGATGCTCCCGGGTGTTCCTGCAGGGCGAGGCCGTCGCCCTCATCGGCTCCTGGAGCCGGTTGAGCCAGTGGTGCCGGAGCTAGGGTTGGGTGTCGGTGGGACAGCCTGGATCCGGGCAGGACGGCCCAGAGCCCACAGGGTCGAGGCCCCAGAACAGTGGCCTGGGGGGCTCCAGCCTTGGAGCAGCGGCTGAGAGCGGGTCCGGCACGGGCAGCTCCCCCGGCACATCTGGGGCAAAGAACGGGCCAGGAGATTGGACAAACGTCAGTGGGGGAGCACTGGATCCTCCTCCAAGAGCCAGATCTTCCAAGAACCAGATTCTCCTCTGGGACCTGGATCCTCCTCCAAGAGCCAGATGCTCCAAGAGTTGGATCCTCTGATGGCTGGATCCTCCAAGAGCTGGATCCTCTAAGCACCAGCTCTCCACTGAGTGTTGGATCCTCCTTCCGGCATTGGATCCTCCTCCAAGTTGGATCCTCTGAGAGTTGGATCCTCCAGGTGTCAGACCCTTCTCTTCAAGCTGGATCCTCCTCAGAGAGTTTGATCCTCTGAGAACTGGATCCTTGGAGCGCTGGATCCTCCTCTGAGTCCCGGATCCTCCTTGGAGAGCTGGATCCCCTGAGTGCTGGATCCCCCTCCGAGCAGCAGATCCCCCAGGAGCGCCGCCTCCCTCCCTGAGTGCTCGCCCCAATGTCCCTTTGCCGAAAAGAGAAGAAGAAAAAGAAAAAAAAAAAGAAAGTTTTATTCCTGTTATTTTTTTAATGAAAGAAAAACAAAAACTAAAGCAAACCTGCACTTTAGGCGGCCAGGGGGGCCGGGGGGTCGGGGCCCCCGTGTCCTTTCCCTGCGGCCGGGGGGCGGCTCTGGGGGCCGGAGGCAGGTCCTGGGTGTTACCACTAGCGCAGACGAGGCCGACGCGACGAACTCCTCCTGCTCCGAGCACTCCTGACGTAGCAGATTTTTGCAAATGGAGTTTTACAGTCTATATTTAAAGAATTGTATGTTTGTAACAAATAAAGTATGCGGAAAAGTGAATGAAAAACCAGCCTGGGCCTGGCTCGCTCCTTGGGGGGGTCAGGGAGGGGTAGCTGGTGCCACCGTTGGGGTGAGGGGCGGGTGATCACCCTGGAGTGTTGTGGGGACGTTGTGGGGTGGTGTGAGGGTGTGAGGTGGCACAGACAGGGCACGTGGGGTCCCCCACCTTGTCCTGAGGGGTGTCCCCAAGCAGGGCGGGGGGGGGCTGGAAGGTGTGAGGGACCGGCATGGGAAGGGAGGGAGGAGGTTTGGCGTGTTCAGGTGTGTGTCAAGGGTGTGCACCATCACAGGGCTGTGTGGGGTGTGTAAGGTAAGGTGCGTGTACCACCACACGACTGTGTGGGGTGTGTCAGCTGTGTGTAGGGCACATGTGCCACCACACAGCTGCCCGGTGTGGGCAGGTGTGAGGCTGGGTGGGTCTGGCGTGGCACAGGCGTGGGGGGTGTGCGTCACGGCTGAGGCGGGCACGGGCACAGGGTGTGCGTACGGGGGGTAAGGCTTCTGTGCCGCTCTCACGGCTGCGTGCAGTGTGTGTCAGGTGTGTATGTGCTACCCCGTGTCCCCTCCGTGCCCTGCCGTGGGTGCCGCAGCCCCCGCCCCCCGCGCTGCGGCTCCCTGCGGGCTCGGGCTCATCTGAGGACACGCGGGGACCCGCCTGCGCATGAGCCGCCACCGCCGTCACTGTCACCGTCACCGGGGCCCGGCGCGACCCCCGCTCCCCCCGCGGCCCCTCCCTGCTCCGAGCCCCCCGGGGCCGAGCGGAGCAGCTGCTCCGGCCCCATCCCGGGGCCCCCCCCACAGCTGCTCCGGGTGGAGCCGGGGGTCGGGGGGCCCTGGGACTGCGGCGGAGGCCCCGGGGCAGCCCAAGGGATCCCCGGGCCGAGGCAGTTGCTGCCCGGGGCAGCTGCAAGCGGTGTTGCCCCCCTCGGGGGTACCGGGAGCAGCTGCGGGATGGGGGGCTAGGGGCCCCCCTGAGCCCTCCCGGCAGCTGCAGCGAGGGGTGGGGGCTGCGCGGGGCCCTCCGAGCCCTGCCCGGTGCCAGAGGGAGCCTGAACCAGGCGCCCCGGGGGCGACAGTGACAGCGACAGGTGCCTTCGTTGTCCTCCTCCTCCTCCTGCTCCGGCCGTGGAGCAGCCGGGGGCAGGCCAGGGGTCTGGAGGACCCCTTGAGCCCCCCCGGCAGCTGCAGCGGGGACAGTGCCCCCCACCCCTGCCCGGAGCTGGGGGCGAACCGAGGCATCCGGGGGACAGGGCCCGTCCCGGGGGGGGGCCCCGGGCTCCCGGCCCTGCCCGGCAGGACCCTGGCTCGGGAATCCCCCATTCCATTTATAAACCCACCTCGTCACACCGTCAGGTTCCTTTTGACGCCGAAACGGGCTCGGGTGTGAGAAATTTATTTCCCGTGACACGTTTGCTTTTAAAACCCGCACCTACAGGGCGGTCCGGGGGCTTTGATCACATTTTGATCCCTGCTCTCAGCACTGACTATGCCTTCGGCCTCTCGGGGTCCTCCCGAGTCCCCAGGGTGCTCCGGGGTCCGTGTTACCTCCCTGCCGCTGCCCTTCTCCCTCACCCTACGGGGCAGCACCAGGATGGATGTGGAAAACACAGAGGAGGGTCAGAGGCACCGCTGGGCCGCGGTGTCCCCGGGCGGACTCCCCTCCCGCCGGCGGCTCCCATGGCCTCACGCAGGGCCGGGCCCTGTCGGGAGCAGAGCCCCCGGCTCGGAGGGACCGTCTGTGGGTGAGACCATCCTGGCCCCACCGGTACCGGGGGAACCAATGCCCCCCCTCCCCCCCTTCCTTCTTCTCTGAGCGACACCCGCGTCCACCCCCCACCCCCCCGCTCCCCTCACACAAACACAGTTGGGGCGGGGCCTCGGAATGGGCGGGAAACCCCTGCCCGCCTTTCATTGGCTTCCGCAGATGTCCGTCCCCTTGACCCCGCCTCCCATCGCAGTGTCTGCCGTTTTCATTAGCCGGGAGGTGACGTCACCGGCGCGCGCATGCCCCGCCCCCCCTCACCCCGCCTGCGTGCCGTGTGCAAAAAGCAACACAGCCGTTAAACGAGCCACGGGGCGGAGCCAGCCGGGGACGGGGCAAAGAAGCCTCGCTCCTATTGGTGGCGGCTGCATATTCAAACTAGTATTAGAGGCGCTGATTGGTGCGGGCGCGGCGCGGCCCGCCGCCCCCGCCCGGGCGGGTCATTGTCTGGCGGCTCCTGAGGCGGGTCGGGCGCGGCGGCGGTTCCGGGACTCGGACGGCGGCGGCGGCACCATGGTGAGGGTGGGGGGGTCTCGGGGCCGCGGGGGGGTCAGGGGGGGCCAGGGCAGCACGGCCTCGGCTGCCGCTGTCAGCCCGGGCCGCGCTCCATGACCTTGGGCCCGGCCCGGCGCTGTCCCGGGGGCCGGCCTGTGGGGAGAGAGGTGGTCGGGCCCCCTAAATCCGGTGTCCTTCCGGCGCTGTCAGAGCGGCTCCGTGTCCGCCGTTACCGCGGTTTGTGTCGGTCACTGGGGGGGAAATGTCAAGCGAGGGCCCCGAGCGGCCTCTGTCAACGGTTCCACGCCTCCCCCGGGATCTCGGAGAGATCCCAACGCGCTTCCAGAGGGAAGGGCCGGGCCCGAGGGGGAGGCAAACGGGGTTTCGTCCCCCCCGGTGCCCCATTCGTGTGACCCCGGCGGGAGCGGGGGTGACGCTGTCACCGGGGGAAGCGGGCGGATGGGGTTCCGGAGGGTTTGAGAGGTTCCGCGCACCTGCAGCGTGGTTTGGGGGGTTCTGAGGGTCTGTGGGGGCCTTCGGGGTTCCGTGCGCTTACAGGGGACCCGGGGCTCCGCGGATCCGCGCGGGGGTTTCTGTGGCTTTACGGGGGGATTCGGGGGGTTCTGGGAGTCCTTTTGGGGGTTCGGTGATTCTGTAAGATGTTCTGTGGGCCCCCGCAGAGGTTTTGGGGGGTTCCGTAGATCCGCGGGGCAATTCTGTGGATTCACAGGGGGTTTGGGAGGTCCTGTGGATCCCCATAGGAGTTTGGGGTCTGAGGGGGAAGGGGCGTTGGATGGGTCCTGTAAACCCCCAGGCGTTTTCTGTGGATCTGCAGGGGGATTTAGGGGGTTCTGGGGATCCCCAGAGGGGGTTCCGTGGCTCTGTGAGAGGTCTGTGGATCCCCAGGGCGTGTGGGGGAGTTCTGTGGATCCGCGGGGGTTCCGGTGTGGGCGAGAAAGGCCCTGATCCCGCGGCGTTTACATGGAAACACCGTCGGATTATACAACTCCCGCTGCCGAGAACTTGTGCTCGGGGATATCTGGGATGTGCGGCACGAGATAAAAAGTTGCTGTTTGAAGCAACAAGAAGAAGGAAGAAAAAAAAGTGGTTTGCTTGGTCCAGCGGGTCAAATCCAGGGAGGGTTTGGCACGGGAATGTGCTCCCAGTGAGGGGCTGGGGTGGGAAGGAGGGACAGACGCGACGCAGGGATTGTCTCAGCCCCCGGGAGCCCCAGTTCCTGAGGAGGAGGAGGAAGGAATCCTCGGAATTCCCTCCTCAGGAGAGAGGAGTCCGGGAGCCCCGGGGGCAGCCGGAACCTCGTGTGTTCCCTCTGCCAACCCCGCGGAGGGTTGGGGAAAACCGGGACAAACCTCGGGATTTCGGCGGCGACCTTTTCTTCCCGGTTTTTAGTCAACGCCCCATCCCCCGTAAAGATCCGCCAGGCAGGTGGCTCCCAGATGGAAAACCTGACGGAGAAGTGGGAAAGTTCACAGCTGGCTGATAAAAGCCCTCAGTGGGAACAGCCAGTGCTTTTCCCAGAGCTGTGTTTTATTCCTAGAGCAAGGGAATATCCCTAAATCCCCCTTGCCTCCTCCTTCCCTCCCCTAAATCCCCCCTCTCTCCCCCCAAATCCTCCCTCTCTCTCCAAATCCACCCAAATCCCCCCCCTCTCCCCCCAAATCCCCGTCCCTGGGTTTTGCAGTTTTATGGAGTGATGTTTTCTCTGTATAAAAGTAACTCCTGGTGCTTCCCTGTTTTTCTGAGTCATCCCTGAAGGCCCTCCTGTCCCAAGTGCCAGGACACAGAGGGGTTTGCCAGGGGCCAGCATTCCCACAACTGGATCCCAGCATTCCTGGAGCCAGATCCCCCCCAGCCTCACCCCGCGCCCGCCACTCGTTTAATCACCTCGGGATTAATTAATTCCTGCTCGTGATTATTTTTTTCCCAATGTTTGAGCTGGAAGAGGTGTTAACTCCCACCTAGCTGGGCTGGGATGCAGATCTTGGACATTCCCAGGTTAACCAGCATCTTGTTTTGAGGATTAACGAGCTCCACTCACTCTCCTGGGATCTCTGGGTCCTTTCAGCTCCCTCACCATGAGCCAAAACTCCTCCTTTTTAGGGGGGATGGGGGTTGTGGGATCAATATGTGCTGTAAAAACAGGGATTACGAGTATCCAGTGTGTTTTCAGGCTCTGCTCTCCCTCTGCTATGGGTTCTTGGCTCTCTGGGGGCTTGAAAACCTGACACGGGGGATTATTTTTCCTGTTTTTTCTTACCTAGAGCAGATTTGGGGGTGCTGACGTGCTCCCCGTGGAAGGTGCAGCTCCCTCTGCCCTCCTGCAGCTCCCACCTTCATTAGGAGCAGCTCTCATTAGTGATCAGTGATGTCACAGAGTCTTCCCATGTCCCTGCAATCCATGGATTTCCTGAGGGCGGATGGGAGAGCCCGGCAAACCTTGTTCCTGAGTGACTCCCAAACTCTTGGCTTTGGCATTTCCACCCCCCAAACACGATTTTCATTAAATGGGGGATTTCTGGGGCTCCCACATGATTTCCCACCCTGGAGCAGGAAGGGAGTTACCTCTGAATCCCACAGGATTCACATTCCCACCTACTGGAACAGTGTCCTGCCCCACACCCTGTGTCAGCACGTGGAGAAATTGAATCTTAAATAAAAATAGGCTCACAACTGCTGGAAAAAAACGGTCAACAATGGGGATTTTGGGATGCTTTCCCCCCATTTGGCATTTTCTGGAAAATCACGGGACTGGGACACTTGGGGGAAGGAGCAGCTGCTGCTCCTCAAAACCCCCCTTGCCCCTTTGGATCCAGGCAGTTGGAGAAGCCTCGAGTTGCCAGGGAGCTGCTGGATTATCCTGCTGCAGGTCCCTCTGGCTTAGAATTAACGAGATTGTTTGGATTCAGGGATTAATTAGATTAATTAATGCGGCCTTTCTCCCCCAGGCTGGCGGCAAGGCGGGCAAGGACAGCGGCAAGGCCAAGGCCAAGGCCGTGTCACGCTCCCAGAGAGCAGGCCTGCAGGTATGGCACAGGGAATCGTCTGGAAGCGGGAATTCTGGGGGGCCCAAACCCTTTGGTTTGAGGTGAAAGCTGAATATTGTGGGATTTGGGGGATTATGGAGCGACGAGGAGCCCTGGGCTTGTGGAGGGGAGAGGGGGTTTGCTCTTGGGTGAGACAGAGAGGGTGGGAGGATTAATTGGGAGAATTAATGATTGTAATTATTAAATATTAACTATAATTATTAATTATAAATAAGGCACAATTACATTATTTAATGTTCTGTAAGGTTACATCTTGTTATATTATTGCAATATGATAATATATTAGTATATCATAACAATACAGTGTGTTATAACATTAATATACATATTATGTGGGTTAGTAATAAATAAATAAACTTGGTAATGGCAGTTAAATCCTCTATTTGGGGAGGATCGTGTTGGGTTGCTCCTGGAAGCCACAGTCAGGCAGGATGGGGAGTTTCCCGGGCCCAAATAGAATGTGTGTTACATTATATAATTAAATATATATAAATACAATAATCAATATAAATACATTATATATATTAGACAATAGTGAATAATTAATTCGGGTAATGACAAATCCTCTGTTTGGGGAGGATCATGTCAAGTTGCTCCAGGCAGGCAGGGTGGGGTGTCTCTTGGGCCCAAATCATAGGGGGCTGTAGGTGTTAACGAGGTTGTTAATTGCCGCCCCCCAGTTCCCTGTCGGCCGCATCCACAGGCACCTGAAGACTCGGACCACCAGCCACGGGCGCGTGGGGGCCACGGCGGCCGTGTACAGCGCGGCCATCCTGGAGTACCTGACCGCCGAGGTAGGACCCCCCTCCCCGGGGCCAGCACCCCTCCCCCCGGCATTCCCACCTCTTCCTGCTGTCCCACAGGTGCTGGAGCTGGCCGGGAACGCTTCCAAGGACCTCAAGGTGAAGCGGATCACACCCCGGCACCTGCAGCTGGCGATCCGCGGTGATGAGGAGTTGGACTCCCTGATCAAAGCCACCATCGCCGGTGGAGGTGGGGCTCCTTCCCTCCTTTCTGTCCTTCAGTGGGAATTACGTGGGAAAACAAACAGGAGTTTGGCAGTGGGGGTAATTCCACTGGCTCCATGCTTCCCTGGATCCACACTGGGTAGGGGGGGATCCGCTCACCATTCACACTGTTATCCCAAAACTCTGCTGGGAATTGAGGAGTTCTTGCAGTTTCTTGGGAATTCTGCAATTCCTGATGGGAATTCTCCCCTTCTCTCCACAGGTGTCATCCCCCACATCCACAAGTCCCTGATTGGAAAGAAGGGGTAAGGGGAGCGCGGTGCCGGATCCCCCGTCATCGTACCGACCTGGGCACAGCAACACCTTGGGGATGCCAGGAAACTTTTTTTAAGGAATAGTTGAAAGGAAGAACAT